TGTGCTCATGCATTGAATGTCTTTGTCCCGTGGTACTTAGGGCCTCAGCTGGGAAAACTCAGTGGGCTGGGTTGACTTAAAGCCTGGGCATTAAAACAGCTGGGTTGGAAAACCCATCACCCAAATGAGGGACATGACAGTTAGAGAATACATACCCAATGGGCTTGACTTGTCTCAAATAGAAGGAGTCCACTGAGAATGACTGGGAGGCTGGGAGAGAGAGGTGAAATTTCCAAATAACTTCTAAGAGGAGAGGAATTGGGAGTCACTCAAGCCTAAGAATTTTGGAGTAGTATTTAAGGCTCAACTATGATTTTGAATTTGTGTTTTCAATAATCTGGCAGTTGAGTTTTCACCTACATTCACCGTGTGGAGAGTGGTAGCTGACCAATCTCATGAGTTCAGAAGAGTCATATTACACATATACCATCTTGGGATAGTTTCTAAGTTCATTTACATCTGGGGAAAGAAAAGCAAACGTTAGACCTTCAAAGAATGAAGAGAGGATGTTCACCTTACCATATCGATACCTAGGAACACTTCACAACACATCTACTATACCTGTTTGTGCTATTTATGTGTATAAAAGGAAGCTTCACCCATCTTTGGAAAAAATGTACTACTATAACCTTACATTCTAGGCCAAGTCTGATCTATCGATATTGGCTATTTGAAGTGTTATGTTGTGAAGAAGTCTAATACCAACCCTGAGATTTCAGGGGGTGGGATGGGGTAAGAGAACAGTTAAAGATGTTTGTCACTTATGACAAACTGTCTGGGGGTAGCATTCATACTCACCAGATAGTCCTACTTGCCTCTTTGAAAGGAAATTTGAAGGAAATAGTAATAATTATTAAAAACAATTATAGTAACAATGGCAAAGCACTTCTCACTATACCATGCAATAAACAACATGATGTTACATTTTTCTAATCTAACATTTTACTTGTGTTGATTGCCTAAAGAGTGCCTGACAATATGAGGCCTGCAGAAAAGTGTCTGGATATTTACTAAATAATTTTAAGAGTTATATAGAGCCTTCTTCTGGCAGAGTTTTAAAAAGTGCCTTGAAATATGGAGCCTATATAACCAAATGAAAACTTTATTGAAGGGCATTCCCATTTCAAATCAAGAGCAAATCCACAAATACCACTTGGCATCTTCTACACAAGGGAGATCTTTTAATATATATCTATGTACTTGTCTATGAACATTTTAACTAAATTAATTGTCACTTCTTTCTGCTGGTTAATGCTTTCAAAAAGACAATTGAATAAAATGATTGTACTGACTGCTTGATTGTACTCCATCTATTTAGTCAAAACTTTATCCCTACTACATTTCATTGGTTCTTACATGCAGACTCTAAAAAAATTTCATAATACTGTGGCTTTAAGATCCATTTACAATTGGTTGTATACCACTGCTTTACTGAAAGCATTTTTTTTTCTTTCTTGGTGGTCCATAAAATAACACTGACCCTTATATTCTTGGCCATCATAGGTCAAAGAAATCTAGTAAATGAGTCACAGAAAGAAGGAACAAGTTGACACATAATCAATTCACAGAATATGAACTGATTCACCAATCCACTTTATAGTAAGTTCTAGCAAGTGGTATTTCCATCTTTTCAATATCATCTACATTTTAGTTTCCACCTGTATTTGTGCCTATTAAAGTTCTTCTGAATGATAATTTATGAGAATTTACCTGTATCAGGGTTCAATAGCATTTCAGAACCCCTTGCAGCAGAAACTCATCAGGAAACCAATAAAGTAATTACAGTGTTTCAAGTAGCAAGCACAGTGACACACTTTTACATAGACAATTGTTGAGTCATGGAACTTAAAGGCTGGATCAGACCATAAAGATGTTCTATTTTTTTCTATTATAAGACCAAGATCTACAGAGTTAATGAGTAGATCCTATCCCTAAGTTTAAGTGACAGGACAGAATAGATCCTATCCCTAAGTTTAAGTGACAGGACAGAGCAGGACTGTCGCCCAAGAGACCATGAGAAACATTAGAAAGAAATATACAGAGTTCAAAATATTTTCTCTCAGTCTAGCAAAGGTGAGATTTTATCTAGTCTGAATCCCAAATAGGAAAGTATATAACTGACTGACTATTCACAGAAGAGTAGAAAAATAAATGCTCTTAAAACTGGAATGAGGAAAAACGTTAACATGTATCTTATTTTGTTTGTTTCAAGTCTTCCATAAAATCACATAAGATTTTATGTTGTATTTGGTCCTTGCACTAAGCCTGTTTTCTCTGGCATACACAATGGAAAGAGTCCTTAGTAAATGATATTCCTAAAGAATTATATAATTTGCTGTTGAGCATTTCAAAACCTCTCTTTGTACCACAAATTTTGTATAGAAGAAAGTCTTTCATAGATGGATATTTGACATTAATAACTCAAGAATGCAGCTTTATAGATTTGTCTTGGGGGAACACTTCATAAAAATTGAGTTAATTAAGGGATAAAATACAATGGCTACAATAGTTCAAGTCTTCTTGCAGATGTACCTTTATTAGCATTCTTGGAAAATAGAAAAAGTAAACTACCTAAGTTCAAATTATGTTGCCAAGTCCAAAATATGTGCTGATATAACAAAAGTTTAAGTTATATAAAATATATTCTTAATAGAGAATTAAATTAATTCATTTATAATTCTTGCAGCAGGCTAAAAATAGCCAATTTGATGATCAAAACCATGGGAAAACTTCCTGTTACAGCCTGACCAGGTTCTTATGCCCTCAACCCACAAAAACCAAGACTTGATGGCATCTGTTACCATAGAGAAAGAGTTTAATATCACAAAGTGGTAGTGAGTGAGGAGGATTAATTTGGCAGGTGGGGGGCTAAGGAACAAGTGCTGCTGCTTCGTTAGAGGTGATGTTATGGGGGTGTCAAAACTCTGCACAGAGCCAGTTTCTGGGAGAGGTCACAGCACCAGTGTTGCCAGCTTTCTGGTATGTGTCCCAGGTCTGGATGGGATCACCGGTCCTTCAGAGTTCAAATCTAGAAAACATCTCAAACACTGTTCTTAGGTTTTACAATAGTCTATAAAGCAAGTTCTGTGCCCTTGGACACTAAGTCATTATCATAGAGGTAGTTTAGGAGGAAGGTATGTGGGAAGTGTGGAGGGAGAGGTCCCTGGAGATTAGAGCTGTTTGCACCCTTCGGCCAATCAAACTTCAGGAAGTCATCAAGGAGACCTGTGCAACTTAGGCTCATATGAAAAATATGTTTACTAACCTCATGAGCAGCTTTCCCTCTCCCAGGGGTCAGGACAAGAAGAGAATCCATTGCTCTCATTCAAGTGGCTGTGTAAACAGTCATATAAAGAGGAGAGAAAACTTAGAAACAACAGATTTGTTCATTCCTAACCATAGCTGTAGCTTTGCAGGACTCAGGCCTCTTCAGTTTTTACCCTGTGGCCCTACATTAATTTTATATAGGCTATTTCAAGTCGTCTAAGAACAGAATGTAATTTAAGGGAACGGAGTAGATAGAATGAGTCGAAATCTAAGTGATTACGAGTTATTGCTGTTTCAGAGAATTAAAATTCCTAAATCGAGCTTTATATTTTCATCTTTGGCTAAATATATATATTTACATATATATGAATGGTGTCAGTTAGGTTCTGTCATTTTACCCTGTTTAACCATTAATGGGATTTTAATTTGTATACATCTGCTGTTATAGATGCATAGTACACTTATTACATGATCATTATGTTTTAATTCTTGATTATAATCCCTTCCCAACTGTATGAAAATATGTCCAGCGACACACAGTTTAAAACCTTTCCTGGAGAAAAAAAAAAAATCCAGAGATTGTGTTATTATCATCTAATAAATAAATGAGCTTATATGGAACTTTAAAAAAAACATGCTTGTTCTGCCTAACAATCAATGTAAAGCTCAGGCAATTCTACATGTCTTGGAATTTCATTTTGTTTTTTAGTCTGAAGACAGAATGTGATAATTGCTTTGTAATGATGGTTTATAAATATCCCCGGCAATGCCCTATAGCTTAATAAAAAAGACTTTTTATTTTTTTAGCACTTCGATTTGGAAGAAGTTCTGGTCATTTATGCCAGCACATCACTGATGCGTGTATGTTTATCACACAACTTTGGTTTTTCATACTGAACTAGAATCACGTAGAACATCTGAGATCAGCCTGCCTGAGATCAGCCTGCCGGCGATGAACCAGCAGTTTCCGCCCCCGCGAGGGCTTTGCCACCTTGGTATTCTCTATGTACATTCTAGTCTTTCTTCACAATGTTCAGACCTGTACTCCATCAAGCACCTGGGAAATTGCACCGATTCTTTTCGACCACCGGGGAAATTAGCCGGTTCATCGTGCTCCCCCGCAAAACTTTAAACAGCCGCTAGACTCTGAGAACAAATCTGACTCAAAGTGTGTTCCCGGTGGAAAGAAAGGAGGCTGAGAGGACAGGCCGTCTCGTCTGAGACGCGCCACTCGACTTTGTAAAGGTCTTCTCTCTGTTCACTTGTACACTGAGGGACACAGCGTCTAAGTGCTAGCGTGAGAAATACTTGCGCATCACCGAAGAATGCAAAAACCGTTCTGAGTGCCCTCCGCGGGAGTCTGGGGGTCTCCCTCCCGACAGCGGCACCTTCCTCCAGGCTGGGGGCGCCTGGTGCGGCGTGACTGCAGCCACCAGGTGGCGCTGACCTGCACAGACCACGCGGGCGGGCTCACGCGGGATCGCCTCGCCTCCCCAGTGGAGGCTGCGGGGACTGGCTCCCGAGCGGAGGCTGCGGGAACTGGCTCCCCGTTCCCGCGGCGGCGTGTGTGTGGAGCCGAGCGCGGTTTTAACTGAATTCCGCGTTGCTTCCCAGCGTCTCGGCACGCCCCCAGGTGCGCCCGGGCGGCGAGGGGCGGGGAGTGGGAGCCTCGCGAGGTCACGTGGTCCAGGGCGCGGTGGCGCGGGGCTTTAAGGGGGCGTCTCTTCCCATCCTCATCGATCCTTCAGGCTGGAGCAGGAGCATCGTCGGTGGACCCTCGTCTCCTCGCTGCTCGCCTCCAGCCCCACGCCTCCCGGTGCAGCACACTGGAGCGGAAAGCCAACTCAGAGGAGGGGAGTTTCAGGTGCGTGCCTTTCAGGGGACTTCGGAGAAGCCTCCGCGGACTGGTGGAGGACCGGAGGGGAGGTGCTAGGCGCGGAGTCCGGCTGGTTGCGGGGCTGGGGCGCACGCAGAGGACGGCTGCTCCGTACCACCTCCGGCCCGGACGCCTGCCCCGGCGCGGAGTCCCAGCTCCCACGCCTGCTCGGGGCGTTCTCCGGGCTGGAGCCAAGGGTTCCTCCCTTCGGGGTGTCAAGGGCCGGGGGCTGGGGATGGCCGTCTCGCCACCCCTCGCGCGTCTTGCGCGTTTGCCCGGACCGGCTGGAGTTTCCCCGGAGCGAGCGGCCAGGGCTGAGGGCGGGCGAGAGCGGGCGCCGTGTGCGGTCCCTGGCCCCCACGCGTGTGCTCCGCGCGTCCGGCCGCGGCCCCCAGCTCCCCGGGCTGGCCCTGGGGTCTGTCGCTGCGCCCTAAAGGAGCCCTGAGCCTTGTCCTCCCGCTGTCGGAGTTTTCACCCTCGAACTCTTCGGCTCCTTCCACGTCGGTAACCGTGCAGTTGGCTAGGCTGAAGACGGAACTGGACAGGAGATGGAGGTGGCCCGGCGGGTGTCCCCGTGGGTCCCAGGGTGGACTGCACAGACGCGAGTGTCTCAAGAGCTGCTGTGGGGCAGCTGCTGTGGGAGGAGACAGTGGCTTTGGGTTTGTACTCTGCTGATTTGGGGGGGATTGGTTTGGATGTTTTCGGTGTTGCCAGTCTCGGATCATTTCGGGTAGAGACGGTCCCTGATGAGTGGGCGCGCGCGCGCGCGTGTGTGCAGCAGAGGGTCAGGCACCCAGTTGCACCATGAAATAGGTGTGGGGTAAGCGTGCCCACAGGAATTTTGACTGAACACATTTCATTTTGTTCTTTAGGAAGTCTCTCGGAGCCCAGGAAAATCCTAGGGGAGGAGAGGAAAGGGGAGTCTCTCTCTCTCTCTCTCTCTCTCTCTCTCTCTCTGACACTCTCTCTCTCTGACACACACACACACACACACACACACACACACACACACACACACACTCATACTCACTCACTCACTCACTCACTCACTGGCTTGCCATCCAGGGCTGAGAAGTGCAGGACTTGCCTGTCTGCCAGGACTGCATGGAAAAACGGCCGTTGTCAGTCCCCTGCCCCTGGGCTGGTTCCCTGGTTCCCCACCGAGACCGGAGACTGGGGCTGTCGGTGGTTGCTACTTTCCTTGTGGTCCAAGGCAGCCTGCCGCCTGCTGGGCAGGCCCTCCCCGCGGGAAGGAAGGAGTTATGTAACTCATTTCCAGAAGCTGGCGTTAACTTTGGGAGGCTGTGGTGTGCAACAGGGCTGACATTTCCTAAACAAGGGAAGTGAACAGTCCCTCCCGAGTATTTGAAAAATACTGCAGCAGGTGATGACAAGAGAGTTGTATTTTCAGGTAGTGGCAGCAATGCGACAGCCGTCAGTGAGACCAGCGTTCTAATTGGAAAGGCAGAGAAATGTCCCTCTGCAAGGGGGCGAATTTGCCAGCTGCTGATGTATGCAGTGTCTCTAAATGCACATGGCAGTTATATTGAGCTTTAACTATCTTAGTTTTTTTGCTGTCTATTGTTGCATAGTTTATTTTACAAATATATATTGGAAAAGTAAATATCAAATTGTTTTCTTTTGCAAAGATAAGATGTGTAAACTCTCCCTTAGTACTATTGTTTTTCTGACAATTATTCTTTCTTGAGATTATGCTAATGTAAACTAAAAATACAATTTTATCCAATGCAAAACTGTTTTACTCCACTGGGATGACTACCGATATACACTTAGCAAAAGAACAAAATCAATTAAAAAATAAATAAAATTTGCATTTTTCTGTGTAGCTAAGTTCTGATTAGTAGGAAAAATGCTATTGCTCATAGAGTATTGTTGATCAAATATAGTTTCAAAGATATCAGAGTAGAATTTCAGTAAGTTTACCTAAAATCGTCTGCAGGAAAGCTGTCTGTAGTTCCTACGTTGCAATAATTTAAAAATGGTTTGCATAAATTCCCGTGTGTACCAATTTTTGCCATAGTGAGTCAGTGGATATAAAATGTCTAATTTTTTTTCCTCTCCACGGCTAACACCTTGGTCTTTGCTCCATTATCTCTCACCTGGGTTATTGCACTAGCCTTCTAACAATCTCCTCCTCCTTCTCTTTCCCTTAAGTGTGTTGAAAACAGCAGCTAGGGCAGTAATTTTAAAACAAAAGTCATACAATTTCACACCTTTGCCAAAGCCTCTTCAGCGGCTCGCCATTCCTTTTCAGAGTAGAAGGCAAAGATGGTCCCATTAGAACCAGGTCCATAAGGTCTGTGCCCCTTTTATTCAGTCTTTCCGACTAACTTCTTGTCTCTCCCTGTTTTATCCCCATTCTCCTTCTGTTCAGCACACCAAGTGCCCTAGATCCTTAGGAACTTTTTATTTGTTCTTTCCATATGAGATGCACTACCTGAGAGACTTGTGTGGCCTCCCTAATCACCACCAATCCTAGGTCTTAACTCACATGCCATCTTCTCAGACAGCCAGAGACCTTCTCTTACCTCCCAATAATAAATTGCAACTCCTAACATCCTGGTCCCTCCTGCATCTTCACTTTTCTCCATAGCATTTTAAATCATCTAGCATACTATGTCTTTTACTAATTTCTTTTTCCTCTTTTTTTTTTGTTTTTTGTTTTTTTTGAGTTGGAGTCTCACTCTGTCGCCCAGACTGGAGTGCAGTGGCTGCTCCCGGTGATCCTTCCGCCTCAGCCTTCCAAGTAGCCAGAGCTACAGGCGTGCACCACCACACCCGGCTAATTTTTTGATTTATTGTAGAGATGAGGTCTCGCCAAATTGCCCAGGCGGGCCTTGAACCCGCGGGCTCAGGCAATCCACTCACCTCAGCCTCCCATAGCACAGGATTACAGGCTGAGCCACTGAGTCCGGCTACTAATTTATTTTTTCATGTATTTTTTTGCCCATAAGACTAGAAACCTAGTGAAAATGTCACATTCTCTCCACCAGAGTCATGCCTGACACAAAATAGGTGTTAAAAAAAGATTTGTTGGATGAATGAATGCTCTTTCAGAAACAATTCTCTTTTATTTTTACACAAAGGGTAGCATTTCCCTATATCCCTGACCTACTAGAATGACTGTTGTAATTAGCATTCATTTTGCATGTAAAAGGACTGTGATGGGATTGAGCTATTGAAGTTAGAATTAATTTACCCAAGAACTTACTATTGCAACCATGCATCTACTATATCATGCAACACCTTTTTATTCTAAATTTAGTATTTTCAAGGAACTATGAAGTATACACAACACCCACATTAAAATCATTATATTAAAATTGAGAGGAGCCAATTAAGGACTCAGAGGACTCAGTGGTACTTTGAAAGGTGGGTAGAGTTTGGACTGGTGATGAGAGAGAGAGCAGCCAGTGAGAGGAATGGGAGAGATGGGGATGCAGAGCTATGCTTGGTAGATTGCATAGACTGATCTGCCTCACCAGAGCATTCACACTGGAGTTGTTAGAACAGGGAGGAAGGAAGGGAGGTATAGTGTGGAGGTCTTCAGGGGTCAGGCTGGAGAGTATATTCAGTAGTCCATCCCTCCTGTGTCTCAGGCCAGGATCCTCTTTCCCCTGGGGGCACTTGATGACAGGGAACCATGGGACAAGGAGGATGTACTTTCCTACCATGCTATTTTAAATAATGAAGAAAAACTCATGACAAACTGATAAATAATGTTAAATATCTCTATAGTAACCTGAATATAAAGTATGATGTTACATTTTTTTGAATTCTTAAGAAAGTGAGAGATTTCCAAAAAATTGTGGATTATTACCTGCTTTTTCAGAATTTGTTCTCAAACCCTGACAAGTCACTGATCGTTCTCTTTGCCTTTTGGATTCTTGAGAGAACACTTAATGATTACCACCTAAGTATTAGAGAGTCATTACAGGTTGTTGCATAGAGGAGGAGAGAACCATATTTCCAAATCCGGAACCCATTCCATTACCATTCCTTAATACATTCATTCTGACTTCGTCATAGCAACCTATACTTTTACTCTTCTTCAATTTTATAAGGTTAAACTATGGTTTCTTTCCTTTTTTTAACCTGACAATATTTCTCTTCTTTACTAGTGTATCTGCAACTTTTCAAAAATTAGGAAATATTTCAAAAATCCAAAACAGTAAATGTTAACTTTTTGCCAAATTTGCATCAGGTCAACCCATCTTCCTAAGAAATAAAATGTAGATTTGACTAAAACCTCACCCCAAAACATCCCCACTTTCTCTTCCCAGAAATAGCTATCTTGAAGTTAACATACATGTTGTACTTTACTACATAGCCATTAGGTATCCACAAACTATGTACTGTTAGGTTCTTTAAAATGTTCATGAATGTAAGCTATAGTTTCATAATAAAAAATACCTCATGTTCTAGAAAGCAAAAACACTAAGAGAAAGGTTCATTAGAGGCATTACTTAAAAGGCAAATGCATTTTTGTGCACTCAATATCTTCCTTTTAATGGAAGTAAATCTACACGGTTTTCTTTATTGTTCTCACAGAAAGAAGAAAGAAATGCAATTCAATTTCTTAACACAGGGATAAGAGCTGTTAATATAAGAAATCTCACCTCATATATTTACTTTAGTAATCTAGGGAAAATCAGAGACTTTTTTTTTAAAAAAAAGTTTGTGATCTCTACAAGTCTGTGATTTGCCTTGTTAGTAATAGAAGTATATATATCACAAAATTCTGTGAAAAATACAAATTACTACTAAATTCTAGATTCTTGCATTGGATACACATATAGTCAGCTGGGGATGGGATATTTATATGAATAAAACCTTATAAATTCTTTGAAAGCATCTGAAATATTAATAAAATAATAGAATCTTAAAGTTAGAATCCCCTGCACAGTGCAAGAACTCCGTAAAGTGGTCTTTCATATAGTGGTTATAAGCTTTTGTGTGTGGAACGCTTGCTAGCTTTGCAAGCAGTTCATTCCATTTGATTAAACTTTTGTTATTCATAATGGTGTGATTGAAAAAAAACATAATGTGCACTCCTTGGACCTCCTTTCAACTTGCACAAAGAGTTGGATATAAGCCCGGTTCTCTATGATCTGTGTGCAACCCATAGAATATCAGAAGATGTCTGTACATTTCTTCTAAGTTTTTTTCTGGTTTAAACATTGGTGTTTTAACAGTCCCTTATATAGCAAAATTTTGTGATGTTTTACTGTATGAACATACTTGTCTTGAAGACTATCTGCCTTAAAAAACAGTCCTGGGTATGGAAAAGTCGTTACTGCAACTTGATCTTGACACTAATTCTTCCATTTCTATAGTATAAGAAAGAATTCTATAGTTTCTTTCATTTATTTTTCTTAGGTTTTAATCTGTGGATTAAGTGGTTTGGTACACATTCACATTCTTTCAATGTTTGGGAAGGTGCTGATGGTATTGTTTATATAAGGCTTGGGGCTGAGATTTACATATTCCTTACTAACAGACCACTATGTTTTACTAAAATTCATTGTGTAAGCAAGCCTGAGTAAAAATTTTACAGGATTTTTCTTTATTCAGAATGTTTGCACTGTTTCTGCTATTTTCGAGAGATGTTTATGAGATGGCATTTTGTTTATTTATTTCAGTGTTTTCACTTTTAAGAGTTCTATGAGTCAGAATTCATTATGACTGACCTCAATAAAATTAGTAATGTAACTGGTCATTTTTTCTTTACAGATTATTCAGTTCAAGGGAATGAAGAATTCAGAATAATTTTGGCAAATGGATTCCAATATGGCAAATAAGAATAAGCTGAACAGTTGACCTGCTTTGAAGAGACTTCCTTTCCATTTTTCTAAAATAATCTATAACAACCAACCCAATCAAAATGAATTCAACATTATTTTCTCAGATTGAAAACCATTCAATCCACTTTAATTTTTCAGAGAAGAATGCCCAGTTTTGGGCTTTTGAAAATGATGATTGTCACCTGCCCTTGGCCATGATATTTACATTAGCTCTTGCTTATGGAGCTGTGATCATTCTTGGGGTTTCTGGAAACCTGGCCTTGATCATAATCATCTTGAAACAAAAGGAGATGAGGAATGTCACCAACATCCTGATTGTGAACCTTTCCTTCTCAGACTTGCTTGTTGCCATCATGTGTCTCCCCTTCACATTTGTCTACACATTAATGGACCATTGGGTCTTTGGTGAGGCAATGTGTAAGTTGAATCCTTTTGTGCAATGTGTTTCCATCACTGTGTCCATTTTCTCCCTGGTTCTCATTGCCGTGGAGCGACATCAGCTGATAATCAACCCACGAGGATGGAGACCAAATAACAGACATGCTTATGTAGGTATTGCCGTGATTTGGTTCCTTGCTGTGGCTTCTTCTCTGCCCTTTCTGATCTACCAAGTATTGACTGATGAGCCATTCCAAAATGTGACACTTGATGCCTTCAAGGACAAGTACGTGTGCTTTGATAAATTTCCGTCGGACTCACATAGATTGTCTTATACCACTCTCCTCTTGGTGCTGCAGTATTTTGGTCCACTTTGTTTTATATTTATTTGCTACTTCAAGGTAAGAAAACTTTTTATTCCTACTATTTCCATTTTTACCTGCATTCCACAGAATTCCTCATTAATTGAGTGGTTCTATTTGAATTCATTTTTTTTTCCTCCATAGATATATATACGCTTAAAAAGGAGAAACAACATGATGGACAAAATGAGAGACAATAAGTACAGGTCTAGTGAAACCAAAAGAATCAACGTCATGCTGCTGTCCATTGTGGTGGCCTTTGCTGTCTGCTGGCTCCCTCTTACCATCTTTAACACCGTGTTTGATTGGAATCATCAGATCATTGCCACATGCAATCACAACCTGTTATTCCTGCTCTGCCACCTCACAGCAATGATATCCACCTGTGTCAACCCCATATTTTATGGATTCCTGAACAAAAATTTCCAGAGAGACCTGCAGTTCTTCTTTAACTTTTGTGATTTCCGGTCTCGGGATGATGACTATGAGACAATAGCTATGTCCACCATGCACACAGATGTTTCTAAGACTTCTTTGAAGCAAACAAGCCCAGTCGCATTTAAAAAAATCAACAATGATGATAATGAAAAAATCTGAAACTGCTTGTAGCATATGGTCCCCGATGACATCTGTTTAAAAACAAGCACAACCTGCCATATACTTTCATTACCTGTTCTCATGTGGAATGGGCTTGAACCCATTTGAGAAAGACTAAGATTTTCTTGTCTTGCTTTTCACTGCTTTTGTTATAGTTGTCATAATTATATTTGAAACACAAGGTTTGGGCATTGGAATCTTCTGGCAATAGTGTTGACCAGACATCTTTGAAGTGCTTTTTGTGAGCTTATGCATACAATATAAAGACTTTTATACTGTGTTTATTCGAATGAAATTTCTTTCAAGTACTACTATTAACTGACTTCAGAAACGCTAGCCATCTGGTACTCTTATTAGATTGGGCCACCCTTATTTTATGATGTGCAGCATTTTAGTCTGTTACAGAGGTGACAGCATGCAAAAGCAGCATTCAGCATCCAGGATGTGGAGCCAAAAGTGTCTGAAGTCATTCAGAAGTGACTTGCTTTTGTTTGTTGTTTGAGAGGGCCTAATTTGCTCCTAATTGGTTATCACTTAATTTAAGATTAAAATGCACAAAAATTACATACTTCTCAGCTGTGACTATCACCAGGAATTGGGCTACCCATAAGAATAAAGAGAGAAAGCAGTTCCCTAACTTCAAAACTATTTTGGTACCTGACAGCGAAAGCATTTCAGAGTAATTTATTCAATAAATAAATTAGTATTGCTGCCAGTAGTTGAATTATATTCATTTGAACTGATGGTCAAGAGATTTTCCATTCTTTGCAGACTGTTCAGTGTGTGTAAAGCTTTCTAGCATAAACATGTAATTCAAAGGCATTTCCAGCTTATAATATGTAGAAACACAAAATGTATTTTCCATACAGCAGTGCCTATATAGTAACTGATTTTTAACTTTCAGTGTCCATTTTTCAAAGTAGGTGACACTAAGGTACAATGGTAAAGGAATGTTTACTTCACCTACAGGGAAAAATACATAAAAACTGAGACCACTTTATATAACCCGTGTTAGCTTATATAAACTGTGTGACTTGTGGTGTCTTATAAGTACTGCACTGTAAAAAGTACTGCATAATCGTGTCATGTTAAGATGCCTAATTTCATCTATCTTGTAATCGTGATCGAGCCTCAGCATCATTTGGAGAAATGACATTTTAAAGAACAAGATATTCTCCAATGTATTATACAGCAGAAGTATTAAATGTGTTTGATTTTAGGACAGACACTCTCTTTATTAAAATTGTTTTTGCCTTTTCTGAGGAGTCTCTTTTGTGTCTCTCTTCAGTTTTATTCTTTCTTGGCCCATGACTTCTCTCCCATGATGTTCCCAAAGCATCCTGTATCTGCTTGCTAATGAAACACTTTCTTCCCTGTGGTATAGCTGCTGATGGCTTAGTCTTCCTCCCTCTAGCCTATAAGCTTCTTGAAGGCAGGAACTGTCTAACAGGACTGTTCCCAGTGCATATAGCACAGTGCCAAGTCCCTAGAAGTTAAAAAAGAAAAAAAGGAAATGAATAGATAATGATCAAATGTCCTTCCTTCTCATTTATCATATTTAATTCACATCTTGAAGTTTTCTTGGATTTTTCCTCGCAAACTAATCTTTACCAAGAAGATATTTTCTCTTTTATTACATTATTTTCATTTCTAAGCTATGCAAAAATGACATTTTATATTTTAGAAACTTTTCTCATCAGTCTTATAAGTCAAGCAGATAACAAACTTTTTGCATTGAATGTTAATATGAAATCAAAGTATAGCCTAAAAATGTTCTTAAGTGAATAACGAAAAACAGTTATAAAACCATGTTTTAATGTTTATCGGGAAATGCCATTATTTTTCCTTACCCAAGCCTGAAATTTTTAACTAGACTTTTTTCTGCTTTGGGGAATGAATTGAAAATTCTGTCTTTCTCTCCTTAGGTACTATGGAAACAAATTGCTATTTGGGAACAGTCTTAGTATGGAGGTGCTTTTTTGTCAGCACATTTGCTGAGAAGGTCATTTCCAGAATTCTCATTCAGCTGTGTAGATTGCTGATTCCTTAACTTTATATAAAGTTAAGTTAAATTCTATTTTATTCAATGATAAGATAGAACTGATGATAAGCTAAGGGTAAAGTCTAGGGTCAGCAACAGACACACTGGAGTTCAAGAAGAAACAAATGGTCATGCTAAACACAAAGTTTGGAACCACTGGATTTTCTTAAAGCCAAGAACAAAAATCAATTATTAGTTTAGTAAACGAGTGTAATTATAATGTAGCATATATGAACTTTGAATAAATTGGTAATAGCTAGAATTTTTAAACTTAGTATGTGTAAAGTACTATGTCAAGTACTTAATTACCTGTGAGGATGTGATGACTAATATTATTGCCACTTCACATAAGAGGAAACAAGCTCAAGTCGAAATATTTGCATGAGCCACTCACTTAGTCAATGGAGCAGGAATCAAACCCAGGTCTGTCCCAGGCTACTAAACTCATGAGTGAACTATACCTATGTTAGAGTTTTAAGAAATAGTTTTCCCTTCTCTTTACAAGTTGCAATAGTAGAGCATAACAATGAGATTCACTTTTCTGCAGGAAGGCATAAAATGAAGCTGAAGAACAGCGAGAAAATGGCAGTCACGATTATATATATCGTAATCCTCCTTCTGAATTAGAGAATTCTGCTTAGAATTTGATTATTCATATTAGTTTTATTTCCTTATTGTTAACTGAATATTCTTTTTTATTTTCCCAAGAAAATATAAATACATAGTACATTTTCTTATTTTTTTATTTTTATTTTTTTTCAGTTGGAGTCTCACTCTTGTTGCCCAGGCTGGAGTGCAGTGGCACACTTACGGCCACTGCAGCCTCAACTTGCTGGGTTTAGGCGATCCGCCTCAGCCTTCCATATTCCACACATTTTCAAGGAAATATTAATACATATTATACCATGATTCCAAAATATGATAATCCAATCAATGAGATGTTTTGACGATGAAAATATCCTTGCACAGTAAAAGTGGTGGGAAGAGGCAGCCTTAAGCCAGGGTTCCAGGAAGATCTGGCCTTAAACTATCACTCAGTTCAGGGTTACTGGGCACCGTTGGATATTTTATCACAGGCTTGCTTTCCTCAGCAATCAAGGATGTGTTGGAACTGAAGCAGTTTCTCAGTGAGACTTGAATGCTTTCATATTCTCCATATTTCTTTCATCTACTTACTCCTGTCATTTCATTAAATAACATGTAGAACTTAAGTGTCCCAACTGATGAGACTAAAAGCATTGACTTACCAGAGCAAATTTTAAAAGTTTCTTAAATTTCATTTGTTTAGTAATGGCTTTCTTAATATATGTTCATGTAAGTGTATGTACATATGCCACACGTTGTATGGATATGAATATATGTATATATGTAATAATTATATGCACATATATATTTATTTTCATTGCCATTTGTTTTTTGATTTCTTACAAAAGCTATTATGTATACAGCACTTATTACACACAAATTATCCTACAAAGTAGTACTTTTTTAATTTTAATTTTTTTTTTTTCATTTCTCACATAAGGAAACTCAGGCATGAGAAGTTATACAACTTGCCCAGTGTAACTCAGCTAGTAAATGACAACCAGGATTCAAATCCAGGATTCAAATCCAGGCTGTTTGGTTCTTCCTAAAATGACAATGAGTTTTTAAGCACACACTGAAAACCTTCCTCACATGCCAGCCTGTGCCCAAATTCTCCAACCTCTGCCTCTCCTATCATCCCATCATTGAGCCAATCATGACCCCATCTAGTCCAGTTCTATGCCGATCCTAAACACTTTCAGAAAGATCAACAGATATTTTCAAGGCTATCTTTTGAGACGTAAGACAAACTTCTAATCATGATTGTTTAGACACAAGTTATAGAATTGAGACACAAATCTGTTCCACCCAAGGACTATCCATGTATAGCTGTTTTACCTTTTCTGTGAGTCTCTATCTCCTCTGCACTCTTGGTTTATATAATTACTAATTTTTCTAGTTTTCTAACTAATGCCTGGGTTATCTGGGAGTCTTTTCCCCGTAAGTGGCTGGGGCTTTGAAATCTGACTAGTTTTATCAATCTTCTTTGGAGGCTGGTCCTGTATTCTAACTCAGAGGCTAAGTCATCTGTGACTAAAGTTTTAGAACAAAGACTGCCTCCTACCTGAGTTCTAAATCTTGAATCTTGTCTGGGAGGGAAGAACAAGGGCTATCAGATAAAATTGTTGACTAAGGATGAACACATTCATTCAAGCCAAAAAACAACAACCAAAAAAAAAACCAAAAAACCAGAAAACACTGCACTGTAAAGAGTACTGAGTAGTTGTATCATGTTAAGATGCCTAATTTCACATATCTTGTAATCATGTTTGAACATCAGAATTACTTGGAGAAATGGCATTTTAAAGAACAAGATATTCTTCAATGTATTATACAGAGAATTAAATGTGTTTGATTTTAGGACAGAGACTCTTTTATTCAAATTGTTTTTGCTTTTTCTGAGGAGTCGCTTTCATGTCTCTCTTCAGCTCCATTCTTTCTTGTCCCATGACTTCCCTCCCATCATGTCCAAAAGCACTGTAATTGATGGGATTACACCAACTGCCGTGTCATCCAACAGCATTATATTGTGGTCTGTTTTTCTTTTTCTTTCTTTCTTTCTTTCTTTCTTTCTTTTTTTTTCCGACATAACCTTTAAAAAACAAAAACAACTATATTTTATTACAAGACTACTTTTATCAAAAATAGCATTGCTTAAGCTTTGTTTGATTTGGCATCAGGAATGAAAAATGTTAGGGTCATTTGGATTCTGGCCAATATTTTCCATTATTTTATTATTGAGATATAATTGACATGCTGTAGAATTCTTTTTAAAAGTATTGTATACAATTCAATGCTTTTCAGAATATTCACAGAGTTGTTCAACCATCATCTCTATCTAATTCCAGAGCAATTGCGTTACTTTAAAAAGTTCGAAGTTTCCGTTTTTGGTCTGTCATATAAGGAGTTTGGAAATTGTCATTCTGTCCTAACAAGTAAAAAGTTGAACAAACTGAAAAATCAATAGATATTGCAGGAAACTGAGGTCAGAGAGAAAAATTGCTGCCACCCCCAAAATTAGGGAGATGGGCCAATACAAAGAATCACAGTTCACCAAAGCAGGAACCCCTAAGTGGACACTGTCGTGGGAACCAACCAGTGCTTGGGTAGGAAAACCTGTGGATATGTCTGAGCATTAAAAATTCCAGAGGGACCCAGTCATAGGGTACTTCCACACTTTTTTGAGTTTTATCTCCAGGAACTCAACCAAATAACAGAAGATAATGGAGAAAAATCCCATGGGCATCTGACAGGGAACCAAGGCTCTGAAATAGGCCAGAACACTCTGCTTTTCTTAACAAAGTCTGTCCTCAGGAGAAACTATTTTACCACAGTTTAAACTGTTAGGGTTTTGTCAGAGTCTAAGCGAACTAGGAAAAGAGAAATACCCAACTCCAGCCCTCTCTAGTTTTTTAGGAGGCAGGAAAACTGAGAAGCACTTATGAAGTTCACAGTTCAAAGGCTTGCTTAAAGAGGGGACCAAATCTCAGTTCTATAGAATGTTTCCCCTCTCCCATACTTTGCCACATTACTAAAGGCCTATTAACAGCAGGTCTGTTATGCAGTACATCAGATACAAACATAAAGGAAAAAGTACTAGATATACTAAAAGGCAAAAAACACCATTTGAAAGGACAGAAGCATCAGAGCCAGCCTCAGATATAGCAGGGATATTGGAATTATACATCACGAATTTGAAAAAATTACTGTTAAAATGCTAAGGGGGCTAATGGAAACCTACGTAGGATGCCAGGACAGATAAATTGACAATGCAAGCAGAGAGAGAAAGATTCTCAGAAAGAATAAAAAAAGAAATGATAGTAAAAACACTGTAACAGAGATGAAGAATGCTTTTAATGGGCTCATTGGTAGAATGGACATAACTGAATAAAGAATCTCTGAGCTTGCAGATGTGTCAATAGAAACATCTAATACACAAAAGCAAAGAAAAAAGAGACTAAAAAAAATCAGGATAGAATTTCTAAGAACTATGGGACAACAAGAAGGGTATAACATAAGCAAAATGGGAATACCAGTAGGAAAAGAAAGAACAGAAGAAGTATTTGAAGCAATAACAATGAAATTAATATCAGGCACCACGCAACAGACCCAGAAAGCTCAGAGAACACCAA